GGGGGGGTTAGGTTACCCACGCGTTCATTACAGTACAAAGTTTATCAGTTTACACCGGCTGTATTCAGCAGAAAATGAGACGACAAAGGGGGGTCGGGTGAGGGATCCTGCTTCTAGACTTGAGATACATGTATGTCAATACCACTTATTCATAGACAATGTCTTATAACGGAGCTGTGTACCCCAGGTGTCTGTATGCAGTGTTCTCCCTTATTTTAAGCATGACAGGTAAAATAAATTTTCAAACCGGTATAGCAATCCTTTTACCCGTTGAATTTTGAAGAATTCCAAGCAATTTTAAACGGCAATAAGAGGACCCCTAATCGTCCTTTGATGCACCATAAGGATTGTTGAAAATCAGAAACGATCAGAAAGCACTCACTTGTTCTTGTTCTAGTTTCTGCTGAGTCTCTGATAGCTTCTGCTCCAAATCTAAAAAAGCAATGACAAAGATGATGACTGACAACCTAAGAACTCCTCTTTTCCCAGAAGAAAAGGTACCAATAACTTTTTATGTTGGAGAAGTCTAACTTCACACCTCATCCAATAGGGAAAAGAGAGAGAACTGTACGAAAAAAAAAAGTGAATGTTAACGTGCGTTACGTAAAGTATTAAAATGTAAATAATCTGATTAATGACCTTTTCCCTATTAGAACCCTGCGTTATCTCACCTTCAGTGTAAATGCCCTTTAAATTTAAACTCTTATTAAAGCCAAAGTTGGCACTCAAATGTGCTTTCTACTTAAGGCCTCAATACGTGTAGTGCAAATGTATAAATACATGTACACCCTGGCCACTAGAAAACACTAACGCAGCAAATAAACAGGAAGTCTCGATCACACGTAAACTTCGTATAAATTTTCAAAACTAGATACATGTACCCAGCAAATAACCAACTAGAACTAAAGTTGGACCTGGTACATGTACCAGACACATGTGAACGTTTGTCTTACATTGAGACCGTTACATGTAGAATATTTTTAAACTTCTCTTGCCTCTCTTTTCAACAGATGTCTTCTGCAGCTCAGCCAAGAGGTTAGACATCTTACTGGCTTGTTCCTGTCCAGTACGCGAAGCTTCAGAGGTTTTACTTTGTAGATTTTCTGACAGCGATTCCATTTGTTCCCTCAAGGCTTGGAGTTCTTTCTCTTTCTTCTTCAAAGCGGCTTCTTTCTGTAGCTCTTTCTCGTCCACTGCTATCTCGATCTCCTTCACCTAAAAACAACCAAACAATAGTCATTCATGCCCAATACGAGCCATACCAAATCAGGGGCTTGGGCACGAGTTTCCATCGAGAGAGATGTAACGTAACGTAAGTGTCTCGCTATTTTGGGGACTGCCAAGTTAATTCATCATGCCAAGTAGTCCTTTTTCTTGAAGGGGGGATCCGCTCTACCCTCTAGACCCCTCTTACTTAACCAAAATGTTTTAGGCCCAGCTAACTTGTCTTCCGAGGAGAAAGTGTGTGAAAGTGGCCATCTATCAAGAACCTAAGACCTGCTCAGCCAAAACGAAAAGGTGAATTTAAATCTGCCTCTACAATGAGTAGAAAATGTTCCCGCATCCTTTTACAATTACGCACGCATTAAGTTGCTGTCGTTCAAAAGGTGGATAGCACACCTTAAGGATCCTCCCACCAAACCGCCGAGTCCTACCCCCCAAACAATTTGTACACCGGATTTTGTCTAGCGTACGTGTACTTCTGTAATACCTTTTCATTGTACTTCAACTTCATCTCTTCCTCTTTAGCATGTAAGATCGACTCCACTTCCTTTGTTTTCTTAGTCAGAGCCTCCTGTAACTCCATTTCCTTGGCAACTAACATTTCCTCTAACTTCTCGTTCTTGTCCTTTTGCATGACTGCCACCACCTCCGCCTTGTCTCTCTTCAACTTCTCCATCATTGATTTACGCTCATTTTCCTCCGCAGCTGCAGCAGCCTCGTATTTTGCAGTCATCTCTTGAATTTCTCGCTCCTTCTTCAACTCGGCAATTTCTCTTCTCTTTTCTGACTCTTCGAGTTGCTTCTCCATCTTGAGAAAGAACTCGTCTTTTTCTTTTTTCATTTCTTCGTTTTGAGCCTCACGCTCCTGCAGAACTTTCCTCATTTCACTTGCGTTGTTCACAGCCTCGTCTTTTTCCCGCAGCGCAGTCTGTAGGTTGTCCATCATGTCCTGAATAGCTGTCTTCTTCTCTTGTTCTAGTCTAAGTATCAAGGCTTTAGCTTCCCTCATTTGATTCGAAGTTACATGATCGTGTTGAATGGACTTTTCCTAGTAACGTACAAAAAAAAAAGAAAAAAATGAACAAGATAACTTTAAATAAACTCCTTCATCCCCTCCCTCGTGTGCAGAGTGCTTAAAACTAGTCTGTCCCCAACCGCTTTTTGTTTTTTTTCTTGCAATCAAGTGGGAAAGCACGAAACAAGCACACAAGAGTGAGCGCGGATTGCAGAGAGATCGTGATCCTTGTTTCGCTTGCGCTGTGGCCACTAATCTTAACAAAACGGAAGGTCTGTGAACAGTGTAGCCAAAAAAACCGCAACATTAGCAATATATCAAACAAATCTAAAAATAGTAAATGTACGCAAGTGAAGAAAATCAATGTCGTACTTTATTCTCGTTTATTTCCCTCGCTTGTTTCTCCACAAGAGCTTGAAGGCCTTCAATCTATGAAGAGAACGACCAAACTTACCCTTCAACAACACTTCACACACAAGAATCTGCACAAATGTAACTTCATGAGCTTAAGTGCAGCCGAAATCATATTGATTCATGCAATATCCTTGCATGAAAGAGCCCTAAATTTTTCATCATAAGATGGTTTGTAAAATACCCCCTTCATGAGTTGCCAATTCAGTATCATAAAATAATAAGGCTGGTGGAATCTACGGACTGTTTTGTGAAAGAATCTTGAAAAATCTATCCCAAGAAATCAGTTCTGAAGGTAAACAACATGTAACCAGTGTCAATTGACATACAATACGATGGTCTATTTTCGTTCTGAACAATATAATCCACGCATGGATACAGATCTCATCTTCAAGTATCGATAAAATCTTTAATAAATAAGCAACACAGACATATTAGGGGTATCATTCACAAAAAATCAGGAGTTTGTGTTGTGAAGCAGACATGAATGGTCAGTAGATAGAAACAATTGTACGTTTTACACATGTTCTAGTTAGTGCAGTATTAAGTCAAAGATGAAAACACCTTTCAAGAGCATGCTGCTTTTTTTCTGGTGGTTAAATACTAAAAATACTCCATAGATCACAGAACATCTACATCAGAAAATAATGTTTTTAATGGTGCAGCTGTAGATGTAAACATGTTCACAACTGTATGTAACTGTACATAATAATGAAACTGTTCCTTACCCTCTCCTGCAGACTCTGCTGTTGAAGCTTCTGTTCATCACTTTGAGATCCTGTAATAAATAAATACCAATAAATTCACTCCATGTACATTTATGGAGGGTAACAACCATTGATTGAAAATTGAAAAGTGTTTGTCCCTTAGAAAACAGGGTTGGAATTTGGCATGGTGTTTTGCGTAGAGAACGGAAACCCAAAGAAAAAAATCCTTTAAGCAAAGATGGGAACTAACAACCCACTTGTGACAAAAAGTTCAGGAATCAAACCCAGGCCACAGGGTGGTGGGAGGGAAAGAAGGAAGGAAAGCAAAAGCGTATGGCCACTGCAGTATCACTTCTCCCATATGCCATCCCACCAATGAAGGTCAAGTTTAAAAGAGTCATTACACATTCAAAGGCAAAATCTTTTAGATAGCTCACCTAAGCCAGTATCAAGAACATCAGTTCCAGGAATTGCTAGTGATCCTTGTTGCTTGAGCAGTTGAACCTATCATAGAGCAATCATATCCAGATTTATTTCCCAGGTGAGGCTAACGTTTAGTTGTAAAGTACACCTAGTTAAACTAAAATACATAGTGGTCCTAATAAACATTCAAACATCCAAATAGGCAGGGTTGATGAGAAATGCTGATGGGTGCCAATATCACAAAATAAAAAAAATTAAATTATTTTGAGAATCAAAGTTGAAGAATTTACCCACGAACATAATGATCAAATGTTCGGTACTAGTTATTATCCACCTGTGTTTGTAGAGCTTTGATGATGTCTTCTTTTTCATCTAGAGACAACTGAAGTGTTTCCTCCAAATGCATCTTGGCCTGTTTTTCAAGTTCTATGGTCTGTGAACAAATGGAAAGTTAATAAATTTGTCAGACTGATTTACAAAAACTGACTCAAACTGCCCTGTGATTTTACAAAATATTTCAGATTTCTACACAAACCACACAAAGGGAGCTTGATGTACCTGCAATGCAAAACTCTCCTGAATTACCAGGCTGAGTGTAACTCACAAGATTTACAAAAGTCATTTACACCTACAAGTACCAATAACTGTTACACATCAACACTGAAAACCATTGCCTCTGAGAAGAGACAAAGACTACAAATGTATGAACCTTCTTTTGTGCACTTTCAGTAATCATTTAGTCATCAAGCCAGGCCATCACCAGTCACAGCATGATTCAAGAGTTTGTCAAGTAACACCAACATCAAACAATCAAGGCAATGAGACTCTCCTATAATACATGCTTCTTATTACAATGTTTATCAGTTGCATAACATGTAAACATGTACACCATAATTACAAGATATTTCAATTATCTACCCTCAAAGTCAAGATAATTGTATCACACTGTGTTTTGCAAACTTAAAATTCACCTCTTTCATCTCTGATATTCTTCTGAGAGCTTTGTCCTGACTCTGTGTGAGATTATTCTGCAAGAGGGTACATTGACATGCATGTATCACATACTAGTTCAGATCAGATCCAGTATCATATACCCCCTTTATTTAATATCATTATAGCTTATTGTTCAAGTTTTGCATGCAAGTGATCAAAAAACACTTTTGATCAAATAGAACTAATAAATAAATGTAAGTTCTTTTCAGTCAACATTAAAATAAACAAAAACTGCAGAGAGGAAAACAGCAACACAAGTCATCTTTTACCTATCAACTTTTCACACATTTGTTTACATGTGTACCTGTAGCTTTTCATTTTCTTTCTGTAGGTTCTTGTAAGCTTCCACAACCTATCACGTTCGGGAAAACAAATTGGAACATTATCAGTTTATATTTTCCCATACATTTTGACTAGAATGTTTTGTTAACATCTACAGCAACCCATATGACTGATTCTAAGGATTCATTTCTACTTACTCCAGAATTAAAAACAAAGATAATAATTGTCCAACCTACATGTACAGTATCTGTAAAAGGATGGCCATTGTAAATTTACCTTTCTAAGAGCCTTTCTCTGTTTCTCTTCAGTATCAAGTTGGCTTCCCATACAGGAAAACATCTTAAGACCATTGTCCCAAAATATTCCCAATTATAAACATTTCTTGAAATACAAGACTATGTGTACATTGCTGAATAACTTCAAAAGTGAAGTTTGTATAAATTTCTTCATGTTTAAACGTACAACATGAGTTACTGTTTCTCCCAACATATCAGCCAGTGAGATGTTGATGCACACTGAAGAGACTTACAATAATTAAGCCAGGTGAAATGCTCCTGGTTGTGAATTAAAATAACATCTACATTTTGTTCTTGATACAAGAAAATTATTCCCAGAAACATGTACTTAGCAGTTGCAAGTAGAACTTTGTTCTAAAATTCATAGTCAGATGATTTGGTGCTGTTTAAAACTAGTCCTTTCATGTCAGTCTATTGTCTGTTGTAGATTTTTATTGTTCAGGCTAATTTGAATAAAGGAAAAATTATGCAAAATGTTTCTAACCACAATCATATCAACTGACATTTATTATTTAAGCTGCATTCCGTTCAACATGACTGAATACCTAGGTAACCTCTATAAAAACTAACTGTCCTTTACATATTTTATGCCTACAACAACAGAAAAAGAGTTGTAACTCAATTTGAAAACACATCTCTTGATTTGTTCATTTCTTTTCTTACTTTATTTACCAAGTAAAATTATACCTCCACTTAAAATATAAAACAAAAGCAAAACAAAATTAAAAACTTACTTTTATCTAAAAAAAAATTGCCCTCATTTGCCTTATTCTGAGGTGGACAGTGCCTGACATTGATCACTTGTAATGTTTCATATGAATTTCCAATGAAAATGATTTCAAACTATACTGTGGATTGGTTTGTATTTTTCTTGGTTATAGAGTTGTGGTCATACTACAGAAACAAGATAAAATCACAATGTACGACCTAACTAGTTTAAAAAATAATTTACACTCGTTTACATTACACTTATATTTCCTATGATTCAGTTCATTGCTATGTGTTGAGATTGAATTTATTCTCATTTCATATTTTGATCATAAACATTCAAACCAACAGAAATACATGTAAATTTATAAATTATACTTGGTCAAAATGTTCTAAACTGAGACAAAAAAAAAAAAATCTGCACCATTATCTTACAAAAACCAATTTGTCAGAAGTTTTTTTTTTCATGTTCACCTGATTTGTGATTTTTAATTGCCAAAACACTGATCAGAATTGCTTAATGTCTAAAGCTGTTTCAGTTATTAATGGTACAGATGAGCACTCAGATTACAAATGTACTCTTGATCACTAAAAGCAAAGTTTATGACAATTGATACTAACATAAGAAATTTCAGCATTTGTTACAAATAGCTATTCCAGTGATGCTGAGGTCAAAATTTATTAAATATCTAAAAACCAAATTCATTATTGGATGGGAAATTTTGGTAAAAGCTCATTTAGCATGAACAGTGTTATAAAAATAGCCATGGCCTAATTTGATGCCTTCAATATACATGCACATTTAGTACAGAGACCAGTAAGGAGAATGAATCCCAGCCCATGAACAAGATCAAAGAAAGACAAAAAACTTAAGGCAACATGACAAAAGAAGCACCAAACCAGGGAATGGCTAGGAAATCTGGCTGATTTCTTTCCAATATGTGTTAGTACACTTTTTTTTTGGACCTTGCCATAAACACACCTGTCAATAGAATTCCCATCATTTTGAACTGAGTGATTACTAAAAGTAGACTTCTCCTTAAATCAATAATATGTGAATGCAAAAATACAAAAGATTGTGCATGACAAGGTAGCTCAAAAAGTAAATGATAACTCTGCTGTTTTCATATTCCATTCTTCCTGGCTTTCCTAACCACTCACATCAACTACAGGAACTATGCCAGTGCTAAATGCATACAAGAAAATAGCCTAGCCCTTTTAGCCATTCCCACAAGTTGGGAGACTACTAACATTGTAGCTTTCCTTATTAATTTGATTGAAACTGAAATCCTTTAAAATCATGTAAAAACAAAGATGTTACAAAGTGCGATACCTCTGAGAATCTGGTCTTGTAACGTGCCAAGACTCTCTCTTGTTTTTTAAACATGGCCACCACCTCTTCCTTTGTGGCTCCGTCTAGGCGAGCCCCAGGTGTACCGGGTGTGCCACTTTGCTCTGCATCAGACTCAGCGTCAGACCGTCCTCCCACAGAAATAGGGCTTGAAGGAGGGATTGATCCTTGACGTTCAACAGTTCTCTTGGGAGTTTCAGTATCACTGATGCTGTCCTGTGACAAAGTTTTACTTGGGGTGCTTGTACTCTTAGGAGGAGTTGTCTCACCAGAATGAGGCTTTTCTCCATTTCTGGAATCAGGCTGAACAGCCTAGACAATGAAACAA